AGTACTGCGCGGATGAAACTAACGAGGGGGTTTTTTGAAGATCTAGGACACAACACTCTCTTCACGGAACTCAGCATCTTCATTATAACACTCACTTGAGCTGCAGTGTCCAACTATTCAAAAATCAAGAATTACTACAAAACTAACTGATCTGTGTTTCATCCAGCTGCAGTTCGACAAAATAGTCGGCGAGGCGTGGCGTAAAGTGCCTATCCATCTCGCTCACACTCATGTATCCTCATGGACAGCTGAAAATGTCGAAAGAGGACTGCATTGAAACGAAAAGAAACGCAGAACAGAGTAAAGATCAGCTGTGATTTTTCGGGAGGTGAAAAAAAAAGTGGACAAGAAAAACTATATTCGGCGTCAACAAACCGTCAGCGGTCCTTTTCACATGAAAGTAACAGAGGTAAAAACACAAAGTGGCTCAACTGAATTTCACAACTATTGCTGGTCAGCGATTCCTGTGAGAACGTAGTATTTCTCGCTCGCTTCTTCGAAAATTTCCCCGGCACACGCGTTTTCATTGAAGCGCTCTATTGTATGACCTTTCTAACTGCCCCGAGCTAGGTTCAAAGGCTTACACGAGCTTTGTCAATGTACATCGATATCGGAACAATCTAGCGATAACCAATAACTAATAGCTAGCTATCGAGTAGCAGTTAAGAAACATCCCTTCAAGTAGAGTGATCTTTTTCCATGGTTACATGTTGGGAAGGGGGGACTCAAGGGAATACAAGTGCGAATTACAATCCCAATAGGGAATCCTACTGGTCTCTACAAAACTGCCTGGAACACATCTGGGTCTACAGCATAAGGCTGTCGTGTGATGATCGTATTCGTATGACTAAATAAGTTATACCTATGAGTAGACCTGAAAAACCAAACCTGTAACTAAATAAAGAATAGGAGCTTCGCGAAAGTGCAGAATGAGAAATGATACACGGAGAAGATGACTGAGAACAACCATAAATCTAGCCATTAAGAATGCTGCAAAAGCTG